CGGGGGCGCCGGAGGTCATCTACGAGCCGCCCTACTACCCCTCAGTCTCAGCCGGCCCGCGGACTGAAACTGCCGCGCGCCAAAATGGCGGCCCAGCCGGAAGCTCCGGTGGAGGCCTTGTCGGGGCCTGCCCAATTCACAGCGGTGATGGCGGCGATCTCGGGGTGCCAGAGTGCGCTGACGGCCAAGATTGACCACCTGCAGTCGGATGTCGGTCTGCTCCGGAGAGACTTGGACGGCTTTCGGGACCGGGTGGCGGCGGTGGAAGGTAGAGTGGGCAACTTACATTCCCACAGTGATCTCCCCCAGAGAACGATTTATCCAGCTCAAATGTCTACATAGGGCCTACTACACCCCGACTAGACTGGCTAAAATCTATCCCACTGCTGATGCAGGGTGTACTCGGTGTGGAGGGGAGGAGGGCACCTTTCTACATAGGGTGTGGTCGTGTGGTGAGCTCTGGTCTTACTGGGAGTCAGTGGTTTCTACGATAAGTGTGGTGTCCGGACATCAGCTTGACATGGATTCCTGCTGGGATGTGGAGAGACGCTACGGGCTCCTAAGGCAACAAAGCTTCTTATATTCCATGTGGCTTTCTATGCCCGCAGGGAAATTATTCTGAGGTGGAGGCTGCCCTCCCCTCCTACGTTGGGACAATGGATGGGCACGATTGATCGGATGCTTCCGATATACAGACTAACATATATGGGCCGGCACTGTGCTTGCAAATTTGATCGGATCTGGGGGGAGTGGGTGGCGGCTAGGGGTCTCACCCTGGAGGGCCCGGGTGGGGAGACCTTGCTCCCGTCTGCATCGCATGAGAGGTAGTCCGGAGAAAGTGGGCTGAGGTCTCGAGAGTTGGGGGGGAAATGAGTGACGTGGTTGACCGGAGAGGAGTTCCTGAGAACACCCTCCCCCCCCCATCTCCGGAATTAAGCCTGATCCTATGTCTGACCTTCGGTCCTCTTGCTTTGGGTTTCTCCCCCGCCCCCTGCTCCTTCCCTCTCCCTTCTCTCCTCGGCTACTCCTGCCCTTCTGAGGCTGACCTGGTATTCCTTTCCGTCCCCCTCTTCTGCCCCCCCTTTCTTAGCTGGACTGCTCCTTCCCTCTACTCCTCTCCCCCCTCATCCTACTCCTCTCCTGGACCCTATGGGGGCCTGCCCTCAGTGGTCTGGCTGACCCTGGGTTTTGTTTTGGTAGTGTCCCAGAAACAGAGTGTAATGATCCACAAGTCGATTTATTTTGATGTATTTGTCTACTTGTATCTGTATCTTTATTTTTTGAGTTATCATTATTGTATTGTCTTGTACTGACTGCTGAAATGCGGAGTTTAGAATGTTGATCTGTAATTGTCATTGTCTTACTGTGATTGTTTTATGTATGAAAATTCAATAAAAACTTTACCTGTTAAAAAAAAAACCTAATTTATGAACAACATCACACTAGCATCATAAATCTGGTGCAAAGTGCATCAAATATATTACGTGCAAGTTCAAACACTCGCAATTGCTATGATAAATTCCCCCCATTGTATATACAGGCTTAACTGTGAAAAACTGATGTGCTACTGCAAACTTTCATTACTCTACGGTGGAAACTGAAGCACTGGACTCTGCCTCAAATGTACAGCATTACAACAATATTGGTGACTTTTAAACAGTAGACCATCATATACTAGGTTAATAAGATGTAGAAGTGTCTATATGCAGGGAGTTCATATCTGTCTATATAGTTAGCTATACAAAAAGGTTGATCCATGCTATAAGACAATTTTTTCTATACAATTCTTGTATACTATGTTTGAACTGCTGGGCTGTTTGAGCCATTGCCTATACCTATCTGGCTAAATTATAAAGTACTAAAGGGTATACACTCTTTAGAGTCTCCATGGTTTAAAGTGCAGTGTAGCCCTGGCTGACATTCCCTTTAACCAGCAGGAGCCACACAGCCCAGGCACTATTGTTTTCACAACTGCACCAGAGGATTTACACACTTCCCTCCCTCGGCCCTTTACTGTCAGACCACTAGGGGAGGAAGCAAGACTGTGGCTGGCCACAGCTGGAGAACTGGAGTCCAGCCCATCAGACTTGGGGGTGAGTAAGGAGAACCTGGGGAGCCAGTGAGGGGCTGTGCTGGTTAAAAACTCCAAGGCAGGAGTGGGTTGTGGGCCTGAGAGGGCAAAGTGGCTACGCAGTAGTGCTGGGAGAGCAGGCACTGCGGAGACCCAGATATTGCAGTCGTGGACCAATCAAGACCCGGGGATAGAGAAATCAGAGCAGAGGAAAGGTGCAGGCTAGAGAGGAGAGGCTCAGAACATTGCAGACTGCCTCTCCAGAGATGTGCCAGCAGCGCAGAGGCTGCTGGCAAGGGAGGCCTACATCTCCCATCATCCAGCTAGCTGGGGCACTACAACCTACTTCTATCCATCTCCATCTAGTCTACATGAGTGGCCATCAAGGGACCGATGGCTGACCAGGGGGCCTTTGGTGAGTTGGTCACCTTTATATGCATTACATTTGTTGTTGTAACTGGAACTTTACTGCCACCAGCAGAGCTCTGCCTAAGGGAGACTGCATCACTCCTTCCCCACTTGAAGCCCTGGGAAACTCTGGGAGCATCTCATGTTATGCCTGTATTTGAGAATGAATGCCTCTATGCGTATTCAAGGGCCTTACCACCTAGAGATTTCTTTGTTGTACCACTTACCAATGGTTAGACAGAGCCAGTTTGGTGAGACTAGTTTTGGTACTGTTACTTACACGTTGCATTTGTAATATCTTACATTACAAGTTGTGACAGAACCCAAGGCATGGTAATCGAGGATGTCTATATTCCCCAATAGTGCTCCACTTCACAGTTTGTGTGTAGCACAGCAGGTAGAGAAGCCAGTCCAGAATTTCTGTCTGGCCTAGCCAGTTCCTCAGCTGTACTTAATGAGCAGCACCAGGTAGTCAGAGAAGTTTGTTGGAAGTGGGCTAGAGAGTGGAGAGACCAGCAGCAGTAAGGGATAATGTAAACACCTGTTTCTATTAGATTGAGAGGCCTTACCTCAAAAAGGACTAAAACTACATTTAAAATATTTGTGCATCCATTTGTTTTGTTTTCCTTGGGAACAAGTGACATTCACATTTAAGTTGTGCCTTTTTTTTTTAAACGCTCAGTTGAGCAAGGACTTTTGTTTGCGTATACTTATTCTGCCTGTGTCAGACCTATTAATAACAAGGTAAAATGCTTTATTTTGAACAAAATTGCATTGTTCTGTGCTGTTTCCAGCTGTGACGACTGTGTGGTTAAAGATCCCAGGTAAAAGTCTATTGACCTTGGTTGCCACTGCTACAAGGGTGTTAACATTGCCTGCTTTCACTTGCACTGTCTGTTCTGGCCAGGCCATTTCACAGGCAGCCAATGGGACAAATTACATTAACTGCTGCATTTACAACTGTTCCAGTATTTGATGCCGGATTAATCTCGCCACTGTTCAATCTGTTCAACCAATATTTCCCTTTTAGGGTTAGTTCCAGCTTCAATGTAGCTTATTTTATCACTACTGGTATGTCAGTGAGTTGCCGGGTCCAGTTAAGGGTAGTTCACCACTGGAAGAGGCAGAAGAAATTAACATCTAGCAGCTCCTTAGGGAGTCATTGCAACTGCAGTATTAAACTCTGCCTTAGATTTACAACATTGTAGTATTATTGGTGACTCTGAAAGCCATTTCCAACCTCATATGATGAGCTAAGCAGGACAGGAAAGTGTAGGGAATTCCCTGCCCCTTTGTGATGTGTAGCTGAGGGAATGCACCCACCACAACTTATTGGACTTAAGGGGGGGGGGGGGGGCCGGTAAAA